ATATAGTTAACCAAGGTTGGGCACCTACGCAAGGTGAAGCCTCGCTGCCAGAAAAAATTCGAAGTAGACGGAAGAGAAAAGGTGACAGGACCTATAGAAACTAAGAGATAACGACGAAGACGAAGGGAAGGAGAGATAGAAAAAGGCGACTGCCGATTTCCCCTCGATGGGTCAGTACAGTGGTTCCGTCTATGTGAAACTGGGGCCAAGGGGGTGTGTTGCGTCTACCAGGGGTCGTTAAAGGTCCAATTACCTAGCGTCGGATTGACCCCCAAGATTCCTTTTTCCCCGGACACGGTTCAGCTACGCACGGCTCGGCGTGGAGAGGTCCAAACCCCCGTTAGCTTGGGCCCTTGGTGTCGCCACGCACCAAACGCCTACTTGCACAGACGCCATTGCGGGGAGCGAATTGAATAGTACCCTGGTGTAATGAACCACACTGGTACCATATGGGTCATTTTCAGAGACATTTTGAACAGCACCGTGCGAATGCCAGCGTTGCGTAACAGTTCATACAACTGAAATTACTTGTTTATATGGCTTGCTTCTCTATGACTTACGAGGGTGACATGGCTTTTATCGGGTGTCTTAAAACACTCGTGGGCATCGCTTAGTGTGAAGCAGCCATACGCTGTGTATTGTGACGTGTAACCGCCTAGAACTCCATAGCTTCGTGTTGCTTTTCCGATAGTTACAACAGAACTGAAAATTGACACTCTTTTTGTACCAATAATAGGACTGAACTTCATTTGGAGCAACTGCTGTCCCTTTTCTCGCAAAATCAAAATCTAGTACAAGCTATGCTTGCTGGTAGCATTTTTTGCTTCGTGCGGTGACGCAGACTGTGTTCGCCATATGCAATCGTGCAGTACCCACTTCTGGATGCAGTTTGCGGCTCCTTCACAAAGAAAATCACGGGTTATGTTTTCTTGGTAGCGCTTTTCCCGCATGACGTACGTGACATGAGCCTCGAAGGTTACCCCTAATGATTTGATAGATATTCTATCTCTCAATGAACATGCCGCTGACACTTGGGTTAAACTTAATTGTTGGTGACAAAGATTTGCGCAGTTTAGTGAATGTCCTCAATGGTGTAGGCATTGACTATAATCTTTTCAAAGCAGATTTTTTTTCAAAGTATTTTTTGGCACAGTACGCACAGTGACCATCTTCTTGGTGTGGAGCAAGCACAACCCAAGAAGGTGGGGGAATACTATTTTCACAACACCATATATGTGCCTCAATTAGCTTCTTTAAACACACACAGCATACAATTTACAATCCGTAGTGAGCGAGTCTTAAATCTTGTATAATTCTGCAGTTTGCGCCTCCTTGGCACCTAAGCAAGACCAGTACCATGGATGTGGGCAACCCAGACACCATACTTCTCACGGCAGCCAGGCGATTTTAGAAGAATGTAACTTGATAGTTTTGTATGACAGCTTCAATTGTTCGAGATTAGAGATTTTCAGGCAGTAGTGTCAACAATTGCAGGCTCTCTTTGTAAGATGCCACCGCTTGGTATGCTTTTGCCACGTTTGACAGCTATTCACTGCAGTCACCACAATTCCTATTTTAGGGCCCAGTTGTTTCAATATGGCGCTGACTCCCAACTGAACTTTTTCTTAAAATGGCACTTTCTATTTCTCCCCGCTTTCTCTCTGCTAACGCTTTTTTCGTTCGTGAGGGATACCACCACGGAGCCGCATTGGTGAAATGTTAGACACTTCTATTAAATTGTTCCTCTCACTGGCTGTCTCATGCTCAGCAACAAAACAGTCACCAGTGTCACCCTAGTCCGAGCAAGATCAAACCGTGTCTTTGTATCTCCTTAAGCAATGCCGGCAGGCCTAGTCTCCCTTTTCAGCTGAGTGCGCGTCCTGCTTCAATAATCTCCGCAAAAGAGATGCACCGATAAGTTCTAGACACCGAAAATTCCACTGTAGCGAAATCTTCTTCTGTGCCATGTAATAGTAAACACAAAAAAGTTAGTCATGACTTTAACGCTTTTCTACAGCCAGCTTCACAGCAGAAGACAGGGGTCGCACCAAAGTGAAGCACAGTTTAGAAATGTAACTTTCATTTGAGAAGGTGTTTGGGTCACTGGCACAGCCCCGTTTATTGCTTCTATCTGCCTGGCCGCATTTTGCACCAGACAGCACAAGGAACGCTACTCCACTTACGGCTGGCTCATGATCATGGCACAGCGGCTGGCCATGTGCACTTTGTTGTCCTCAGGTTGCCGTGCGCAGGAGGTTTTGTTCGTGTTCGCCTCCTGTTTTTTGCCGCTCAGAGAAATTGTGAGAGACCCATTTTCATACCGTGTTTGATTTGCCAGGAAGCGACGTGACCACTGAGCGACCAAGGAGAAGGAGAAAAAATTTGGCGGAATGACAGGGAGGTTAGCCAGTTCTTAGACCGGCTGGCTACCCTGTACTGGGGAAACAAGTGAGGGGAATTAAAAAAGATAGAAAATAAATGTTGCATAGAGAGACGAAAAAATCGAAAGAAATGGTGAAAGAGGAAAGGCAAAATCAAAGAGAATAAGACACTAAAGTCGGTCTCTGAGTTCAGCTGTCCGCAAAAAGCGTAGCAAAGCATTAAAAGCCTTTTGGGCTGTGAATGGGCTCAGTCGATGACCCAGAATCCTTTGTTCCGACAAACACCGACCATCCAGTCTATCCAGAGCGTCAGTAGGTTCTGGTCTTGGCGCGTTGGAATGAGTACACTCACATAAAAGGTGGGCAATGGTTTCTCCGCAACTGCAGTAAGTGCATGTAGAAGAGCTAGCCATTCCGATAAGATAGGAGTATGTGTTCGTGAAGGCCACTCCAAGTCACTAGTGACATAGAGTCTCCTCAGGTCCAGATATTCCTGACAGAGGGCGGAGAAACTGCATGGATTGCTTTCAGCTTCCCGTGTCGTCTGCATCTGCCGCGGGGCGCTTTGACCTGCTTGCATCTAGCTTCGCTGTTTTGGGCCTATAAATGTGGACGTCGTACCTTCTGTTCTGAAGCCTAGTTCAAGCCCTTAATAAAGAGCTTGATTGTTTCCAAACGCGTGTCCTTGATGCCATCATGTTTCATTCACCGATGTGCCTTTATCATAGAGTAAATTAGTTAACCTATGCCTCTATAGCATCGGTGAGCAAGAACTTTAGAAACAAGCCCGCTGGTTTTCTACAGTTATCTACCCTCATTTGGCAAAACATATTTTAAGAAGTGGTACTTCGAGCTACATAAAAATAATGAATATTTACTTGAACTTTAGGCACAATTCCTTTTATCTAAAATACTAAGGAGAGAATGTTTTACCCTGGAAAAAACTTGAAAAGGTTTTAGAATTCGTTTTGAGGAGCTGGTAAATGAGGGTACAGAAAGTGTTTTGGTGGACAACGCTTGCAACCTTGAAACAGCCTATAGAACGTTTTAGCCTGCACGGTATTTAAATGACTCAACGTTAAATCAAATAACATGTCCCTAAGATAGCGACTGAACAGGGGCTGCCAGCTATTTAGAATTAGAGTCCACTAAGAGAAGTCATCTTTTTGGGAATCTCAAATGCTTCGTTGGTGAAGCTTGCCGATCATTTTAAAATACTTTCCGCAGACGGCGTTGGCCCATGGTCTGCGGCGCAGTGCCGCTACGTCAGACTTACTGCTGGCATAGAGCGCAGGCCACTCGATCGGCCACACGATCAGCACGGTGTGAATCCAGAGAAGAGGCGGGTGTGCGAAGAGCAGAGAAAATGCATCATGTAACCAACGCAATCATTGTGGTAGCATTCTCTCGAATAAGACGGCAAACTCTGAAAAATTATGCTTGGCTGTTGTCCTTATCTTTACACAGCAGTACTCGCCATTAGCCACTGCCACTATTTCAGGTGTCTTTCATTCTTACGATGCATGATGAGCTCGGCTACAATTTCAAGTTTAGCTTCACTGCTTCTATATTACCTCATTTATTCAAAGCATGAACCAGACGAATGAGAGGGTGGATGCAGCCCTTCTACAAGCACTTAGCTATGTTGCACATATATTTACTCAAAACAGTCGTTTTCTTTACAAAACAATTTGCGCTCACCCAAAAGACATCTAGTCAGCAAGGTCGTCTAGTCAGCAAAAGCAAATCGTTTAATTTTATTTCATCTTATGAGAAAATTTATTACGTTCGAATCAAACGTCGTAGGTTGAAAATATGTTCGCAACAATTGTACTTTGATACATTGCGGACCGATGGGCCTCGGCCGACAATAATAAAAAAAATGTATAACCTCGAAACTCGTACGAGCCCTCGTTGTATCAGCGAGGTGTCACTTTAGGTTTTTAAAGACCCGTATGACATTGTTATGTACCGCTTTTTTCCTCATTTGTATACATTTGCCTTTCAATGAATTGTTGTAGGTTATCTCTGGCTACATTGTAACACGCTTTAGCCAGCCATTACGACATATGACTTGCAAGTAAATTAGCGGTTATTCAAAGGGTGACATCTTTGAGCAAATCTATGGTGATCGCCTTGCCTGAGTGAACATTACCGAATACGCAGTTCGAAGCTAGAACTGTGAGATCCCTTACGTGATATGCTTTCTGTCAATTTAATTATGATGACGACAAGTCAAGAGCTTCACTATCTATCAATTGTTGAGTTACGTGTTTCAGTATTTTTGATAGCATATAAGAGAGAGAAATTCCTCAAATGCGGTTATCGAAGGCGTCAAGCGCACACGAACTCTTGTCACACTGTCGTGCAGAAAAAGACGTTTTGTAGTATACAGAAGCAGGAATGATTTCTATCGTACATTTTATACATTTGAAGGCAGAATATGAGTAGCAGCTTGTCGTAGTTTTATACCAGGGGTAATTTTTTCGTCTCCCATTCTGATGTAACTAGAAGTCTTTTCGAAGGTCATTTCAGCATCACTGGTGCATGTGGTCCCACTACCTGATAGTGACGATGCACAACAATCCCTGAGCACCTCAGTAAGAGATCGTGTTTTTGTAGTTCTTTTAATGATTTCAGTTTCGATGTTATTTTACAGAAAGAACCAGAGATCATAAATGAACATGGTCCACATCTTCAGCGCTGTAATATCTTCAAGGCGTTGCCATCAGCTTAGCTTTGTTTTGCTCCTAGGGGCGACTCACTTATCGCCTAAAAGAGAAAGCAAGTACGATAGAAGATTAGGACTTTGAAATTATGTTCCTGTATATGCATTGGCATTGCTGTGTTTTGAGCCAAACTGGTAAGCAATAAAATCTTAGTACGACACAGTGGAGCAGTGGTTATAGTGCTCGACTGCTAACTAGCACGTCGAGGGTTTGGTCTAGACTACAGGAGGGACATTTGAATAGAGGCTAAATGGTAGAGCCCCGTGTTGTGATCCCTACAGTTCAGTGCAGGCTAAAGAACACCAAATGGTAGAAATTCTCAGAGTCCTCAACTACGACGTCTCTCATAATCATACTGTTGTCTAGGAGCGTAAAACCCCAATGATTATTAAGAAGAAACTGCTAATATTGACATACTCTAACCACTGAAAATTGCAGGCCATCATATAATCGGTTTCTGACAAGTAATGCTAGACTTAAGAAGCACAGGAAGCAGATAGCTTGAGGGATTGCCCAGCATAAATGATGAAAGCTCATCCAATGAAATCTTTGTGGAACTGGTTTCCGTAAAATAAAGCGTGAACTAGTAGCCAGGCTCGGGCGTAGGCACTTGTGATTCCGCAGTACCGCCAATATTGGTGCTTTTCTCTCGCCACATTACTGCATTCACTTTAAATAATAAAGTTTATTGGGCCCGAAACCCCGATATGATTAAAAGAGACGCTGCAATAGAGAGATCTAGAAATGTCGACCTTCTGGAGTTAATAACGTGCGGATAAATTCCCCTACCCCTGCCACAAGCATTTTCGCCTCTATCGAAAATGCGGCAGCTACAGCGAAGATTCGATCCAGCAGTCTTCGAGTGATCCCAATTGGTACTTATTTTCAGGCAACGCAAATGAAGACAAGCTTTTTATAAGGAATTTCTTGTACAGACCAGGAGTTTTGTATACGCATTTCTTGTAAACTAAAACAGTGTCTACTTCGAAAGCATTGTGAAAACACATCATTTCACGCTACGCGCCTTGCGCACAAAAGCTCCATTCACCACAAAATTGTGAAAGTTAATCATTGCTACGGCCTACACGTGCAACCACGTTTGTGGGGCGCGTTTTTTTTTTTCAGGCTGGCTTCAGCTAACAAATAGAGAACTTTCACTATGTAAAAACTGAACTTACGCCACACTTACATCCCCAAGCTGTCAATATAGACTTACGAAAACAATATATTTGATGCAAATTCACGCTTTTTGTAGTATACACTTTTCAAGGAATCTGCTGAACACTGGTCCAGAAGCTGTCCAATAAAAGCGAATAAAACTGTCAGAATAATAAATGTTTATAAATCAATTTTCTACTCAGCTCCTGAGTTACTCGAGCTACAAATGCCGCTTGGTTGGATGAGATGAATTTATAGGACCACTAGCATAACAGTCTATCCACGTATGTGTCTGGATGCTTTCGTGATCTCCTTATGAACTCGGAGCATGCTACAGCGAGTATGATAGCAATTAGCATGATAGGTTTGACAAGTGTTTTAGCTTAGCTTCGCATTACTAACTTGAAAAGTGGCGGATCCCACATCACTTCGGAACCAAAGTTATGCGAAGCATGCGGATGGAAGGACGTTAGCCCGCTCCACCAAAATATTTGTGGCAGGCGGAAATGTTTCATTAGCACGTGATACTTGTTACGTGTTCAAACATTGCAATTACGCGTACATCTGCGAACGCTAAGAGTTGTCTTTCACGAACAAATGTACTGGGAGCATCGCACTCACACAAAGAATAAACATTGTAAAGTAGTGGGAATTCTTAGAAAATGTGAACGCATATACAAGAACAGCGAAAACTAATGATATATTTGGCCCTATTTCATTTCCACTGCGCTATTGTCACTTAGTTTGGGAAACCAGGACAAATACCACTACATGAATTGATCATGTCACAAAAAAAATTAACTGCCATCTCAAAGGGTTCTTACAATGCATATAAGTCTGATTCTTTCACAAGATTGAAGATCTTAAAACATGAATTTCTCTATGAATACTGTCCCTTAAGAACATTCAGATAGTAACTTATTTGTAGGAGCCGCCACATACTTGCATTTGCAAATTTATCTGAAAATCCATCTACAATATAAACGAGACACACTGTTAACTCGTGCACTCCGCGGCGTCGTTCAAACAATGAGTCACAGCTACTACCAATTTGCCTACACACTGTACTAAAGAAGTTCAAATTACCGAGCGATATTTTACGTGTAATGTCCTGAAAATTCTATTTTAAATATGGTTTTTCAAATGTTTATCTTTTTATGTAAAATGCTTCTTGAGTGTTTGTTTTGATTTTTAGGCGCGAGTTCAAATGTCTGGCTAAAGTAAACCTCTCTCTGTAACACACGTTGCTGCTATTGTGTCGGGGTGGCGGGGATTGTTAAGGGATATTGCAACTTTTACTCTGCTATTCTTACCATGAATGATACTTCTCCTTTTTTCCTACTAGACCTTCGTTCAAATTGTATGAATAATTATGAATTGATTGTGGTGAAATCAGCCAAAGCTCAAAAATGTCAAATCTCAATTGTCTGTGACATTCATGTACCAGTTGGTCCTGTTTTCACGTCCAGCGGGCTGTTTAAGCCTCCTATACTTGGGTCGTATCTCTGTGAAATTTAAGCATCATTAGCAGAAGTGTAACTGTTTCTATATTCGCCCGCTAATGCGGTGATGAGGGACGTATGTCCACAGAAACATGGCGTATAGTTTAGTTGCTTAGATCTGTTTGTATCTGTTATGAAATGGTCTATGACACCTCCATTCTTCGTCATGGGCAAGAGACCTTAGAGGCTCTGTCTATACAGAGAACATCTTTCATGTATTATGTGGACCAGGTGTGCTTGTGTTTTGAGACATTCACATTAAAGTCGGCAGCAATGATCAGCAGTTGTAAGCTCATATGTGCTCTTGTGCGAGAGATTGTAGCCACCCTGGGCACTGCTAGACATATAAGCTTAAGTGGATAACGCTTTCTGACAATTGCCGTAATGTCTACGTGACGGTAGTATGATAAGGTCACGAACGTCACAAATGTAAATAGTTGCGAACAAAAGGGGAGCCTTATATTTACTATGAATATTTTGCATCTCTGAGCGTTTACAAGAATAGAACATTCTAAGCATAAGTAAGTTGGCTTGGTGCTATCTTACATAGTTATGTAGAATGAAGTGGCCCTTAGCTTCGTTAATATTGAGAAATATCAGCAAATTTTTGCTTTGACATAGTGGTCGTAAACACAAAAAGAGTGGTGTCGCTCATTTCAGACTGCTTTTCTGGCAACTCCTGTTCTTCGGCTGTCTACTACGTTGTTTACTTGTTAATGCCTAGCAGGCTCATTCAGGCTAAACTTTATCGATTAAAGAATTCGTCTGTCTGTGCAGCCATTTGTCGGTTCATCTGTCTTGAACGATCATTCTATCACCATGACCCCCACACGCAGCACGTGCCTCTACACAATCTATTGATCAAATCACATGCTGTCACAGTGCAGCGTCATCTTGTGAACATTATGAGAAGTAGCTGGGGGTAGCTATGACGAACAATGAAGGAGAAACAGAGCCACAGCATAAGGAGCTTTGCCTCTGACACATTCCCTTCAACAGAAAAAGCACATACTGTGAGCACCCCCTCACACACGCCCTGTTTACAACATGACTTCACTGAACGGCGCTTAAACACATAAAAGTCACCGCTCACGCACTATAGTGAAAATTTGGGAGCTGTGCAATAACTGGCCCGAAGTAGCAGGCATGTTGTTTGCAAAAGGGTACTGTAATCGTGTCCTGCTGAAGAAAACAAGTCAGTTTTTCCGCTAGGGCAATACAACGAATGCAATAGGAACAACTTGGAATGTCAAATGAATATGAATGAACTATCAACACTTGCCGCGTTCTGTTGAAGCATAAAGAAGGATGCCCTAGCTTGAACTAACAAACGGCACAGTTGTGATACTTTTGGGTGTTTGTTTTAGAGTGTGGAGCACAGAATGGCCCTTCTCCGTCTGTGCACGCGTGCGTGCGCTATCACAGTAAAATGTCCCGTATTCGAAGAAAAAAAAGTAAAAAAGTGGTCAAGGTCATGAGCCATGCATGACGTTTTTTGTTAGCTCTTCCGTCGCTTCCTGTTCAGCTTCGAGCGCTTGCCTCGGGACGAGAGAAGAGAGAATGCGATTGCAGCGTGTGACAAATATTTGTAATTCGGCTCGTATTGAGCGGATTCTGAAAGTTTTGGAGCGTTGATTTTGTGAGTGAATACGCTTTTCCAGTGAGTTCATTTTATGATTACTCAAAAAGTGTTTTAGGGCATTTTAAGGCTTTATTATTAGCGTAATTCTAACATCAGCAATGAACAGTACGCAGCTTGCCACTGAACTGCCTTGATACTAGCTCTCACACCAAACAAATATGCTCATCTATTTCATTTCTGACAGGTTTGAAATAAATTTGGTATAGGAAAGGTTGTAACTTTTCCGGAGAGGGTATGGTAACAAAGGGAATATAGCGACAACTTTCGGAAAGGAAGAATAATTGTTACCTGGATAATCTGACACTCCTCCTGTAAGGCAAGAGGTTCAGATAAAATATTACATTTCATTCAACTAAACAAGTAACCTGCGCGTGCTGAAAGGTGGCTTAAACAGGGAAGAACGCATGCAACCTCCTGTTAAGGGAAGCAAAGAAAACACGAGATTCACATGCTGCGCGAAGTTTCTTGCTGTCAGTAATACCTAATAAACATTCCCACACCAGCCGGAAAAGTAAAATGCGCCGGCGCAGCAGAATGTTATTGTTTAAATGGTTAAATTGAACGGTGTGCATTAAAAAATCAAAGCGAGTAAGAGCGTACTTTAGTTGCAAGGTAGCAAAATTAAGTAAGGAAGCTAACTTCACTAGCTTATTACCTCACACGACATTGCTCTGTCCAGAGAATTCAATGTGGAGGAGTGCGCAAGCAACGTTCCTTTCATTGCTCAAATTTGTTCGGGAAGAAGTTGATGGCCCCTAATAATCTAACCAAATACTATCATAAAATAACGTAACAGCCCACTATTTAGGTTTTGAAAGGTTATCTTAGTGGCACTGTTTCTGCGAAAAAGTTTTGCTCAAGATAAGTGTAGCAATTAAATTTGCATCAGGTTGTAAAAGCTACAAAGAGGTTACCACAAGAAAAAGATTATTGTATAAATTACTTTGCAGTCGCAAAACGGCCAACATTGTTCAGCAGGTTAGTTGGAATATACGAATCATATTGTTTATATAGACTAGTCTGTTCATGTGGAGCAACTCATGGTAGCTCTAAATACTGCTTAGTGTTGAATGAGGTTTAAAATCTCGAATTTTTTTATAGCATATACCCTTCAGCAATCAGCCTATATATCTCAAAACAATTAAGCTTGATTTGAACATTCACTATCGCATACTATTGCCATGCTTTACGAGCACTGAAGCAAATAAAAATACCCTGCTTTGACCAATCATTTGCACAGAGCTTATATCTTGTGTAGAAATAGTAAAAAAAACGCTACATGCTTTTGTTTGAGACCCTAACTGAGCAGTTTCATTCAATCCAAGCTTGTTTCTTGATAGGACATCGAAATACAACAGCTAACATATCTTGCTCGTTGAATGGGACCAGCAGTATAGTCTCTCAACATTTATAATCGCGATTAGTGAAAATATTGGCAGAAATTTTCTTGTTGGGCAATAAAGCGCTGGTAAAGACTTGTTGTAAGTCTAGTCCTGGCATCTTTCTGAATAAAAAAAAAGCGGACAGGGTGTACTGCAGTACATTTACTTCGTGTAATATGCAGAAATGTTTTGTTCGATGTGCACTCAAAAAAGCATGAAGGTGGGTCGTTTGCCAATCAAGCAGAACAATGTTTATGTTCATTATTTTCTTCGTTCAGGAAAGAGAGCGATGTGTCTAAGAGTTATTTAAAAAATATCTTCTTACGAAGTGTTGCCGAAGACTAGTTACATTAGAAACGTTTCAGTAAAGTACGCTATTTGCAGCGTTTGCTAAGCTGTTACTTTAGAGTAATTGCATGCAGTGGAACATTCAGCCTTGTCTCAGGTGTTTAGTTGAAGAAGTGAAGTGTTCCTTAGAGAGAATACAAATTATTATCCTCACTTACCTAGTCGCAACCTTGGTCTCGCTGCAAAATTATCAGTCAAGTATAAAATGTTTTTTATATTCACTGTTTTTTTTTCACTGAGCAGCACATGACACATGAAAGCGCAGTAAACAACTCTTACATGCCGCAGTGTTTTTCATATCTTTTGTATACCGTAAGCACAAACAGACAAACATGACATCTGAGCGAAGCTTCATAGCGTCATATGAATTTATATGTATGGGTACAGCTAAGCTTGGCAGTCTCACATTTATTACCATTTGCAGACGAATTAGAAAATGCGTTTATTTATTGCAAGTGACGGTACAAGATCTCCATAATGCAAAAAGAGCGCTAATAGGTACAAAACTTTTGTGCCATGCCCAGAATCGCGCCAGATACTTGACGCTTAGAGCGACGCTTTATTTGGAGGCGCGGAGTACTCAGACGCAATATGATTATACAGCAAAAAGAAGCGTGGTGGCCATGACCTAAATAAATATGCTAGTACAAAACGTAACGCGAATGCATTCACTAAATAAAAATATAAATATATGAAGAATAAAGTTTTTAAGAGGATTAGAACAAGCCGCCTCCTGATTTCTTGGCGAGCATATTTCTTCTACTGCCACGCGCGTCTTTCTTCTTATATTGCCTGGCTTTGGTACAGAACATGTGACATTCACAACAGTGATAATAAACTACTCACTGTAAACGTTCGTACGGTAAATGGGTAGCAAAGTATGCTGGTATCAGTATTTATAGGTTAAAATTCAGGCAGAGTTGCAAACGACTTTATAGGCTTTGAGTCATCTGGCATCAGTGGCAAAACCAGCACACCAACCAGTGTGACCCAGTTCTTTCTCATTGTACCTTCCCGAAGTGCCAGGGATTCTTCTCTTTTTCTTCATTGTTTCTGTTATTTATTGAACTTCTCGTGAATATCTGTGTGCACCAGTTTTGTGTGCTTGTTTCGCGACAAAAGAAACGTAGGCGCATCAGGCCCGGGCCTGGAACGGCACTAATTTTTCATGCAATCAATTCATTGAATACTTTACGCAATCGCTGGACAAGGCTAAACAAAAATGTAGCGTTGTAGCTCAGTCTGAAAGTTCATGCAATCAAGGTATCAGTAATGACTAAACGATTGAGGGCTACTTAAGGGAGATTCGCAGACTAGCAGCTTTCATGCTTCCCCTTGCGATTGAATAGACATACCAAACTCGATTATTGAGTTTGTTCATCGCACGTAAGGAAAATAGGTATTACAGTAAAAGCTCGTTGATTCGGATTTCACGGTACCTTAAAAACTGTCCGAATTAACCGAATGCCGATCAACGAATGAACAGGGAAAAAACATTTAAAATCAAGCTGCAGAAGCTTACCTTTATTTGTTGAAGTATTTTGTAATTGTCGTCTGAGTTTTCGCGCAGATTCCGGCTGACATAACAATTTTTCTTAACTGTTCCAAATGGCCAACAGCACGCAAGCTGTCGGGAGTGTTCAGGCAAGCGTCCTCTAATACTAACAGCGCCTCCGAGACTTCCCGTGAGGTGCGATGAGGTCGCGGCTGTATCTCCTCGCATGATTCTTCGTCGGAATTGTGGTCTTCATGGGCCCCCGTGACATCATTATTAATATCTTGATCGGTCAGGAGACCACTTGTGGCGCCACCATGATCAATCGCGATGTAGTCCTGAAAGGTCACATCTGTGGGAAGGACAGCATCGAAAGTCGGGCAGTCATCGTCGGTAGACTCGGCTGACACCTCCTCGATGCCATCGTCAGCTACTGCTGCATGCTCGGGCCTCACAAAACCGCTGTGCCCAAAACAGTTGGCGATGACTTGCGGCGGAGTGTTTTTCCGCACGTGGGCGATGACGTGCACTGCGCCGAGTAAGTCCACTTGATACAACTTTTCAGCTTCTGAGCATAGGACCATTCGCTCTAGCAGGTGCTTGCGGTACTTCGACTTCACGTAAAGAATGATACCCAGGTCTATCGGCTGAATAGCAGACGTAGTGTTGGCCGGTAAAAAAACTACTTTGATGCTCTGCAGTTCGACTGTACAGTTATGAGCACTGCAGTTGTCAACAACCATAATTATCTTGTGATCCTTCGACGTGAAGTGCCGGTGCAACTGCTGCAGCCAGCCGCGAAAAATGTCCGATGTCATCCATGCCTTCCTGTTCGCTGTGTATTCGACAGGAAGGCTTTTGACGTTCTTAAAACAACGTGGCTCAAGCGCCTTCCCGACGACAAGTAGTGGCAAGCGCTCCGTGCCAGTCATATTGGCGGCAAGAAGCACAGTTATCCTTTCCTTGCATTTGTTGCCACCAATGTACGCGTCTCCTTTGAAAGTCACCGTCTTGTCGGGCAGAGCTCTGAAAAATACAGCAGTTTCACCAGCATTGAACATGTCACGTGGTTTATATGCGGTGATGTGCTCCAGCAGCTTCACATTTTTCCACTCGGTGGTCACGCTTTCGTCAACACTGGCCTTTTCGCCGCACACACTCTTGAAGACAAGTTCGTGTCTCTCTCGAAACGTTCCCAACGTGCTCCGCTTCACGTTGTACTTGGTCATAACCTGCTGTCGCGATTCGCCGTTCTTCAGTGCTTCCAAAATTTCCACTTTAGTCGCCAAGTTCTTTGCGTCGTAGTTCTGCCGCTGTTTCGGCGTTGCCATCACTGTAGCGCACGATGGTGGTGGCATGCACATACGGTCACAGTAGAAGAAAGAGAGAACTCCGCCAGAAGAGATGGTTCCTACACGACAATACAAGGAAAAATGGCATCGGAGGCGCTGAGTGGAGAAGAAAGAAGACGTTGACGTTTGGTGACGCTGCGATCGCCCCCACTAGTTGATGATGATGGCGATGCCACTCAGGTTTTGGTTTCACTCCAGTGGTGCCAGCGCTGCTTTATCACACTTTTGTGTAGCAGCAGCCGTCAGCGTTTGTCCGAATTAAGTGGTGCGGAGCCAAATTCGGACGAAATAACGAAGGTTTGGTCCCATAGATTAACATGCACTTTAGCCGGGACCAATAGAGCCGTCCGAATTATCCGAATTTCTGAATTAACGAGTGTCGAATTAACGAGCTTTTACCTTACCAGTTTTTTAGCAAAAACAGGATGTGTTACTTTGACGTGGAGGCCTTTCCATGGCCGGATGATTACGTGAAAAAATGAGATTTTATTCAATTTTTGTGTTAATTGTAAGCTTTGCGGACCTGGTAGAAGCAGGAAGTGCTTGATGTGATTGATACGATGAGAGTACGTTCTTATGTCAATAGAACTTTCTGTACCTCGGACCTCTCAGAAGGATAGACTCTTCAACATATAAGCCATGGTCAGTTACCGAAACGTGGTGATATTGTGCAGCTTACACAGAATGATTAGAACTTAACATACTATTATGACAATTAGTATAGATCTTCAACCAAATGAAAAAAAAATGGGCACGCTAAAGCATCGTCTTTAGGAGTTGAACGCTTTACTGTTATCCTGTTTTTAGTGCGTACTCGAACGTTCAGTGCATGATATTTTTCGTACTTGTTATAGACCCACTTCGTGGTCTTAAATGAATAGGTGCAGCAGCGTGTGTATCTTCTGTAGTGGCTTATCAGCTTTAACCGACGAAGTCATTATGATAATGTAATGTTCTCGTCCAGTCATTACTACTGCAATATTGAACGTTACATAGAGAAAAATGTATACAATACCCATGTGTTTGTAAAGCGTGAAAGCTCTTATTACTGCATTTCTAATCAGACGGCAGTTTTTTTTTCTTTTACTGTATTCAGAAGCAGACGCACGGCCGTATGGAAGAATATCTGCATGCCACGTAAATTACTTGGGTTAGACCCCCACTCGGACCAGAACGACACTGATGAAGTCCCCTCTAATCTTGATGTTTTTATTCGCATTGTTCCCGACTTTTTAGTCACACGTAACGTAACAATTTTTCGGCTCTCAACCAACGACGCTGACATTGACGGCGATACCGGAACTTTAGCGAAACGAGCTTTTTAATGCTATCGGGTTAAAATTTACAAGCAAAGAAGGTGTTCTTTTTTTTTTCGTTCACATGACATCTTCAAAGAAGTTGTTCTGCTTCAACAGACTGACAAAAATGTAACTGTCAGCAGCAAACACTAAAGTCTTCAGCCCGGCTGACGCTAAGCTTGCAGCTTTTCAGTATTCTAATTTCTCATTCCGAACAAATAAATACAAGAAACAGATTGAGCCCTGGTACGAGCGTCTGGCAAATAAAAGCATTTATTCGTGCATTATTCACTATGTACGATTTATTAATCAACCGAATGTGGATGTGTTACTACGTGTAAATATCCTGCTAGCAATAATATGTTTCATGCCAGTTGTTTTGTCTACCTACCGCGTGCTGCTCACAAGCGATAGCAGCGGGGGATGCTTATGTTATACGTGCATTCACTTGTAAATGACAATGAACAAGGTGAATTGTCACATGCATAATAATTGTACCTGTACAGGTGAGCGTTCCCTTCCACAGACACTAAAGCGTGTAAGCGGGGACTGGTCAGAGCGCTGAATGCTACTGTACATGTGGTAATGATCGAGATGCTTTCGGCCGCGAAACTACACTAGATCTGTAAAGCGTTCCAGAGTGACAGAAACTTTATTGCTGTGCAGCGTACCATCCCATTGCGAGGTGTTCAGCTATCGGAGATGGCATATTCATCCAGCTTCGACAAGCGCATTAACTAGGGCTTTTGCTATGGAAGACCAACCGAATGAGTAAAGATGAAGTGAGATTCACTGCCTGGAAACTTTCAGTTTTCATGTGGGTTATTCAAATGCACCAAAAATAGAGCATTTTGGTAGATTTAGAGTGAGAGTGGTACGTCTTTTCAAAGTATTTAAAGAATACCTTTTGGTCTTTCGGGTCCTCCTGTAAAATAATACGTGGCACACAGAAAATTAGATTTATTACTCATCACTTGTCTCTTGTAAATGTTTGAGCTCCACATGACGAAATATTTCTAGTTTATATTCTTTTGTAGCCTGGCTTATGCTAAACGAGGACTAACTCATTGAGAATTGTCACCATGTAAATGCATGACATACGCCACGATTACATACACAGGTTTTAAATATGTGCACTTGAAAAATTATACAGGAAGCTTTCTCGAGCTTCTTACAGTATATTTGCTTTAGCGAATCTGGCAAAGAGAAACGAAGCTGGCAAAGAAAGCTTTAGAAGCTGGCAAAGAAAAAACGCCAGGCCTGCGCAGAAGGCGTAGCACAGTCACAGCGAAAGCTCGAAGAGCAGCCGTTCAGAGCCTTTTCGAAACACTTATTGGGTAACTACTGCAAGCAAACTTGCTTGATACGCACTAGGTCAATATTATTAAACTTATTTGGGTAGTAGGCCGTCATTCGCTATGATATTTCTCGTCATTTCTCGGAGAATCGTGGCCTCCGCTTAACACTTAGGAGGAATTTTGTGCGATTGTGCGAATTGTTCACGCAGTGGCTGACGACGATGAGGAATTATGGATTAGGTAGGTATGCCCCAAAGTTAATAGGGGAACAAGGACAATATTTTTAATGGGTTGAAGCAATGGACCGCCCAGTCCTTACGCTATTCACTATTTGCGACTACTAGTTGTTCTTTCGTTGTTTTAAAACGCTTTATAAGTCATATCAACACGATTGCTTTTAAAACATCAAGCCTGCCTAAGGCAAGTTTGACAACGAGTCACAAGCACCGGTGTAGGTAAGGTGTAGAACGCTGGGCCGGCAAGCAGCGGACACTGGTTCGAGCCCCACTATGTCATTGATCATTGCTCAAGCTTGCCTGAAGCATGTTTGACAATAAGTTACAAGCACCGGCGTAACTGAGCGGTAGAATACTGGGCTGGCACCCAGTAAACCTTTGTTCGAGCCCCACTGAGTGATTAGTGCAAGTTTTTTTTTCTAATTTCGCGCGATGTGGTTACAGACACCAGCTGCAGTGGCGGCGGACAAGTGCATGTGACCCGAGTTTGGATCTCATAACTGCTTTCGCTGTAAAATCACTCAAGCTGTAGAAGTATCAATGTTTTAGCATCGTTTTTGAAATTTTTACAACCTATGGATTCAACTCAGACGTACTTCTCGATAATATAAACTAAATGAATACGCCCAAAATTAAGGTAAGGTACAATACTGCTTACTATTTACTTTTAATTGGCCCTCCTAGTCAAAAATGACCTAGAATACAGACTGATGAAGAGCTTGAAAGGACACTTTTTTAGTTATATTACACTTACTTCATAAATGCGCAACAAATAACGCTTGTATACGTGTAAGAGAAATCATCAACATGTTTTTTTCAATTACATCGATCAGTTGACGACTAACAGAATTTGTAGAGTAGACGAATATAACGTATATCCAATAGATGAAACTGTGCACCAAGTAAACGGTACAGAACTCTAAATGATTCATGACATCTCAGCTAGGGCTTGATTATTCAACGATATTCTTCTGCAGAATTAGACGCTGAAACAATGTAGCACAGTGATAGGTTTGCATGTAAAAAATATGCGTACCGTGATTCCCTTGATGACGTGCCGTCGGAAATTTTCGTTCAAGTGCTGGAGTTTGTTGGCCTGTAATGTAATTATTCCTAATTAGGATAGAGTTTGTGCAATACAACTACTTATTGAGTGATGATAATTCATGGTTTATGCATTGAAATATGTACTATATAAAATGGATTTGGGCAGAAAGGTTCTGGTCAGCGCTCAGCGGAATCTTTTAATACAACGCCCAATCAGAAGAAATGTATTGAAGGAAACGAAATCATACCGTAGTTGTGGCTCGTCTGTGTGCACAGTGCATCACTACGCGTTCATTGATGACATATGCTGCAGCTAGAACTCAAATGCTAAAACAATTACACTATGAAGTCTGCAGCTGCAGGTCCCGACCTTTTATTAAATCCCCATGAGTTCCACGATGAGCTTTGTACATTGACAATAATGACAGAAATTTAGTTAAATAAAATCAAATAAGTTGGAATTTCTCGTCACTATTTTGTGTCTTTTTACACGTCATCTTAGCCACGGAAGGTGGTTTAATTGTTATAAACATACAGACCTGAATAAAAAAGGAGCACGGGCCACAGTATATCTGAACTCTGTACGCACAGAACAATCACTTAAAATCATTCAGCGAAGCACGGAAGGATCCAAACGAGAAGCGACGGGGAGTATATAGGATACAATGGCGAAGTCAGCAAGTAAATAAAAAGGAACAATCGAGCCGTGATGCAACCCGGCTTACACCATATACACAGTTTTTTTTGGTTGGTCTTATCTCTTTAGACGCTCACAGAATTTACTGAAAGCATGTGCTATTTCCGCAGGCGTACAGTTGAAGAAGGTTCATATTAGGAATAATAAGTGCTGATTGTTCTTTACCTTGGAGGAAAGGCATTTCCACCGTAAGTGAACCGAAAGTAAAATAGCAGATGCTCTTCACTTTCGTAAGCTCTCTATGGCCACTTATGAGAAACACTGCACGTAGCAAGTGACACAAGTAAATAATTAATAAATGAACTAAATAGCATTATTGCCATCATATTGGCCTTAAAGACAGGTTGTGTGCTCTCTAATTGGTGAAAATGCTTGCGTATTCACAATAGCAGTGGGAAGCTTATTATAACAGAATAATTTGTTCCTTGCGAGCAATTATTATTGATGATATTTCAAAAATATTTAATAAATACAAATAATATGTAGGCGTTTGATGATGTTTTCATGTTTTGTGCCGCAAGGGATATTTCACGGCCAAAGAGCGCCACTTTATCTTACTAAAAGATATGAACAATGGTAGTGATAAGTGGCTGTATAAGGGCCATAAAATTCCTCGCAGTAAGGCGGGTATAAACATACAAGTAATAAAATCATGACAATTCCGTAAAAGGTGTGTGTGGTGTGAATAAATGACAGAAGTTGGTGATAATAGAAAACAATGGTGGACATGTATGGCATTAGCACAAGTGCCTTCCGCGTTCATACCCTTGCGTCCAAGGGCCGTGAGGCAAGTGCTGTCTTGAGTGTAGCCACCGCAGCCAAAACCTCTCTGGAGAGGTCGTGCTACGGAATGGCCGGGTATATGATATGAAAACGACGAATTTCTTTTAAAAACGCTAACAAGAATTTATGACTAAAAAGTGGTTTCCTACCGACAAACATTGCAGGGTGTAAAGGCATATGTTCTCGGTAGGGTAATAGAAAGTGTTGTTTTCCTGGAGTTTCGAACTGTTTGCACTGGATTAAAATGTGAACAATTGTTAGTGCATCACCACATCTGTCACACAATGGTGGATCGCCACCGGACAAAAGATAAGTGTGTGTCGTGTATGTGTGTCCTATCTTGAGCCTCGTTAGTATAACCTCTGTATGACGTGATTTTGATACTGGTGGCCAATGATTAAGGTGTGGCTTAATAATGTATAGTTTGTTTTGTGTGTGTCTATCCCACTTGCTCTGCCAGTAGTCCCTGAGCATTCGTTTAAAAGATGGCTTCAGATCAAGGGCCGGGATTGATATGGGTGTTGTGGCAGTGCTTTCATGGACGGATGCAGCAAGCTGATCCGCCATCACGTTGCCTTCAGTCTCATGGTGCCCTGGCACCCAGCACACTACAACATGTTGTTTTAGTGTGTAGAGTGTGCATAAAATGGAATAAAGTGAGACGAGGACAGGGTTTTTTATTTGTTTTTAAGAGTGTGCAGAGCCGTTACCACACTGAGGGAGTCTGTATAAAAACTGCTTTTTGAATATGCAATTGTTTGATCGGTTTAGCCGCCACAAGTATCGCGTAAGCTTCCGCTGTGAATATACTTGTGCCTGAATGTAAAGGGCCAGCATCCGAAAAGGATGGGCCGACAGCAGCGTAGGAAACAGAGGAGTTAGACTTGGAGGCATCTGTAGAGAATTCAGGACGTGTGTATTTATGTTGAAGTTCCAGAAAGTATGTTCGGATATGGGCAATAGGCGCATGTTTTGTAACTTCTAGGAAAGACACATCGCAGTCTATAGTCTGCCACTGCCGCGGTGGTGGGTATGCTACAGAAGACATTAAACTGTGTTCAAGTGACACTCCAGTTTCCTCAGCTAGACCCTGCAGGCAAACTGAGAAGGGCTGCCTCATCGAAGGCCTGTTTTGAAACAGAATGGAGCTCGACAAATCATTAATAGTAGAGTGTGAGGGGTGCTTCTTGTCTGCTTTTACCTTAAGGAAATAAATAAAGGACATGTAAGTTCTCTGCAGATGAAGTGACCACTCATTTGACTCAACATAAAGGCTTTCTACGGGGCTGGTGCGAAAAGCACCCGTAGAAAGGCGGATGCCCAAATGGTGCACGGGGCCAGCATCTTCAAAGCAATTTGAGTCGCAGACTGATAAACAACGGCACCATATTCTAAGTGGGTGCGAATGAGGCTTCTATACAGATTAATAAGACATTGCCTGTCACTACCCCACGTAGTACGTGAAAACACTTTTAAAACATTCATGGCTTTCAAACATTTTGTTTTTAAATACTTGATGTGCGGTACGAAGGTCAACTTGTTGTCCAAGATCAAGCCTAGGAATTTATGTTCCACATTAACAGACAGGCCTTGACCGTTCAGTTCAATGCCAGGCTCTCAGTGCATGCCTCTTCCTCGGGAGAACAAGACACACGAGCTTTTTTTGTGGGTTCAAGCGGAATCCGTTTTCCTCTGCCCATTTGGAGACCTTGTTTGAACCTATTTGAACCTGCGGCTCACATATTGCCAGGTTGCATGACTTAAAGCCAAGCTGGATGTCATCGACATATGTACAATAGAACATGTTGCGGGGGATGAACAGGTGCAAGGAATTCATTTTGATAATAAAAAGTGTAC